CAAAGATTTTTGTTGTTGGATGTTTGCCTATTTTACATTGGATACTGTACTATAACACTGTGTCGTTGTGTCTGACAGCTTGTAGGAGAAAGGCCCTTCTTCACTTCAGAAAGCTCAAAGTACTTACAAAAAGTACTCTTATTTTAACCAATCAATTCCTTTATTATATATAGTACAGTGTTTCCATCATAATATATCCACTCAGTGTAATATTTAATAAACAATTACTTAAAATAGCTGGCTGTAGTAAGAATAGTCCTGAGATAAAAGCGCACCAAATTTCTCTGTATAGCTTCTTATGCTCCGATTTTTTTTCTGAGCTTTCTAGCTTTCCTTTCATTGAGTATTTTAGGTGTCCGAGCTAGAGCTGGTGCTTAAATTAACTCTCTGCTTCCAGACTACACAATTACTTTCTTGTGTGTCTAATGATTAGCTTCTCTCAGCACTTCTGATCTCATCAGAAAATGAAAATGCGCCTGCCAGGGAGTATTACCCACTTTCCTGAGTTTGCTTGTCCATCCAAAAGTCTGAAGCAAGGAAACGTTTGGATAACTTTGAGTTAAAAACTAGCTGCACTTCTGGTGCAAGACAAAACCACTTTCTTTGTTGTTGTTGTTGTTGTTGTTTTTGTTTGCTTGTTTGTTTTGGTACCAGGGATTGAACTTGGGTCCTTGAACTTGGAAGGCAGACAGCAGAACCACTGAGCTAGATCCCCAGCCCCAAAACTACTTTCTTGAGGATTTTCCTGTATAAATGAGCTCATTTCTAAGGTCTCGCTTCCTACTTACATAAGAAGTAAACAATCATGCTGCCTAGAGGAACAGATAGAATGGAATGCAAGTTTTCCAAATCTCCTATCTTGAAGCAGAGATTTTGTACATTATTCTACTTAGAAATAAATCTCCAGTCTGAAATATACTTGAGTGACTTTGCTTCAAGTTCTTTAATTATTCTATGCACGTGGCTTGTTCCCTCATTATCTTTCTAATATTTGATATTTGAATCTTAACTCATGTTAAATCTGAAGTAGATATTGGTGCCCACATTGATAGAATGAAAATTTTTGCTTGAACTGGTTGGGATTCTTATTCATGCCAATGTTAATGGTGCTCTGACTTCATAGAATTGTGCATTTTGCACTGTTCTGCACAGAGTAGATTCTGTTTGATCATCAAAGTATTTTCAGCCTCAACTTTGGCTTTGGACTTGGCCAGAGAAGTGGGTGTTAATAAGAGTCCACTATGTATGGAAGGGGCCCTATCACAACACTTATTTGTGTGGTACATTTGCCATCTTTGTAGATATTTAAAGTCTGAATACTGGCTTTATACTTCAATAAATTTCATGTGTTATTTATGACTTCATATAAATTAGTAATATAAAAAGAACAGGCTTCCTAATCCCCCTTGTGATTTTCTATTTAACACTTTATGTTACTTGGTGCATTAAAAATTCTCTCCATTCCATTCACTTATTTCACAAATTGTCATGGAAGGTTTTTCTAAACAGGGCATGCTGTAACCACTGACCCGTGTGGCCCCTCATTGTGACAGTAGGACAGGTGAAATAGGCTTACCTTAAATGTCTAAAAAATAAATAAATACTTCTGTAGTTATAGGTCATTTCAGATGTGTTAAAATTATATATTAATAAAAAGTTATTAGCGCTTCCAAACATTTTCATGGTAGTTTTCCCTCCTGACACCTGGTTGTGAAGGAGTTTGTCTTCCCAATGCCTTTACAATGTAATTATTTTCTCATTGCTGTTTACAAATAACTGCTAATCAAATCATATGGAATTAATATATTGACAGCCCAAAAAGGAAAACAACCAAAAACATTCATTTCTCATTTTTTCTTAGATTGTGTGCCATGACTGGGGACAGATACACAATTTTGAATACCTTCAAAATACTCAGAATCTCCATTATTTACTCTGTGGCCTTCAGTGATCAAATTTAGTTCCCTCATTTATTCATATAAGTAGAATTTATTTCTGTTAACCCACTAATTTGCAGCCCAAGTTTAGCCAGCTAATCTCTTTTTTTAACATCTATTTGGAGTGTTTAATGAGTAGCCCTTTTCCCTGGAGGATAGGAATTGAATTGGTAAAGGAAACAAATTAATGACCTTCATAAAGGCACAAGGTACTTTGTTACTTGACTCAAGTGGTTGCTTAATAGAGACGTGTGCCTGAAGTGTGGGTGGTATTTGATATCTCTGTTAATTTACATTCTAATGGTTGTCAGGTGGCTGGTGGGGTAGAAGCGGGGCAGGGCAGGTGAGTGGAGCTGGAGCTCAGGTGCCCAGGTGGGAGCTGCCCCGAGATGCCCCAGTGTTAACCGTAATTGTGCAAAGCCCTCACCTCCCTCCAGCCTCCAAATCCTTTCTATACTGTCCACATACCAATCCGACCTTTAATCAGACCCCCTACATTGAGATAGAATGATAAACTACACTACTTTAAAACACTTAGCACTAGTGGAGGGGTGGGGTTTGCATGCTGACTTGAACAGAGGAAGAGGCCCTAGCCTAACATCTACCGTAAAGATTTGAATTTTCCCTAGGAAGGGAAATACCACAGACTGTCCCTGATGAAATGATGTAGGCTATGAATCAGTGATAGTGAGGACAAAGGCGTATGAAATTTAGCAAGATCTTTACAATTCAGTTTTCTTAACTAAAACCCGTTTTTAGTTTCCTTCTTTACATTTTTTTCTTGTTACTTCACACGTGATAGTTGAACACATGTATGGAGCACAGTGTGCTGCATTAATGCATGAATACATGTACTGATCCAGTCGGGGTAATCAGTATTCCCATCTTCCTGTCCTCTGTTTACATCCAGGGCTTTTTCACACCTTTCTGTTGGTTCTTGTAACATATGTGATAGGTGAGTGTGAACTGTGGTCACTCACTGTGCTGTAGGATAGAACTTATTCCTCCTGTCTGTGTTCCCGTACCCGTTCTCCAGCCTCTTCCCAACACTTTCCTCCGCTCACACTTGACGTCTGTCCTCTATCAATTGGGTCCCTTTGTCTCTCTTTAATAATCTTACATAGTATTATGCAGCTAAAATAAAATCTATGATATTGTTCGTAGAAGTTGCTAGTTTTTCATAAAGTTATTGATGACTTTTTTTGGTTTAGTATTTTTTACAGTGAACATGAATTGCTTTTTAATCAAGGAGAAGAAAAATTCATGAATTATAAAAGTTGCAAAAGCGCATGAATAAAAATAATACAACCTTGCCATAATAAAGTAGGTTTATTTATTAATTTATATGGCCTGTCAGGCTAAGTGCCTGATAGTAAAATAAAAAAACTTTGTATTTGTACAGTTCTTTACACAGATTTTCTCACATGGGACATATTATAATAATACTTAATGAACTTAGTAATAGTGGCAGGATAGAATATAATATCCCATAACAAAGAAATGATGAATTAGATATTTTATTTAATTTGCTAAGAATTATGTGTTTAACAAATTGCATATAAATAGGCCTATTTCTGAATCCTAGCACAAGTTTTCTTTTTTACATGGTCTAATTTCTTTGTGCTCCCATGTATATAAAGTTCTGATAATATTCCTCATAAAATCTATAAAGCAATATTTAAGACATAGTTCCCGTGTCAGGCAATTACAGTGTGGTTGGAGTAAAAGGACACATAGTAACAGATGGTGTTAAAACCAATGAAACTGATGGCACACATGAAAAATGAAATGCCTTATATAAGGCTTATCATACTGGATGGATGGATGGATGGATGGGCAGGTGTATTGATAAAGTAATTAGCTATAGAAGTACAAAGGAAAAGGCTTAGTGGTCACAGATGGTTGAGATTTAGTAAATGTCTCTTGACTATTTCATTAGTTGGAGAATACTTTAGGAAGAAGATAAGTTCATCAGGGCTTTAGGAACTTACAAGAGTAAGGTTTGACTCTTTGGCAGAAAAAAAGCAAGATGGGAATTTCAGGCCAAGGGCCAAGTATGAGCAAAAGCAGTGACAAAGTTCTCAAATCCTTTGCTTTAGTGAAGAAGTTGTTTCAAAAGCAGAATGAGACCATATCATAGAACATCATGATTTTCAAGCTGATATACTTAAAATAATCCACAAATACAGGCAGCTATAGAATTTTTTGAATAACTAATGTCATAATGGGAATATTTTCGACCAAATCTGGTGAAAGTATGACTTCCGTTAAATGTAATGATATAAGTAAGACACAGTTTAATACAATGCAGAGATTTCACGTATTCAGTTAGGATTTTAAAGTATTTTTAGGAAGAACTGCTCATGTAGGTTTTGCTGTATCATCATTAAATATTCCTGAAGTTAATTGACATTTCTGAGACAGTTATGTCAAGTTCAGCCTTAGATCTATAGGCATTCTAATTGAGAATTAGCACATTGGAAGACAAGAAGGTGGCATAAAAGTCTAGAGGCCTCAAAATATTTTATGCATATAGCTTAATAAATCTTGTATATGCTAGAAGAAGGTAACCATTTATGTCTTCTGGAATATTTAACCTAATTACTGGATATGTCATAAAATTGGTATTTCTGGCATGTGAGTTCTACTTGCACTGTGAGAAATTGTATACATTATAATTTTCTTTAAGTCTGTTCATTTACCTCTCTAACCACCATCGTCATCATTTTTTTAATGCAAATGATTAACAGTGGGGCCCTGGGACAAAACATTGAGAGCTAGAATCCAGCCCCACTACTTAATTGCTGGTCAGTCTTGGCCAAGTTGCTCTCTTCCTCAGTTTTCTCATCCATGGACCAGAGATAACAATGCCAATGAATAATACACAGTCACCTTATTTTCTTGAGATTGTTTTGTTTTGTTTTTCAAGCCTTTGCTGGCAAGAGAGATAGGATCACATTGGGACATATCTGGGGCCTTTCCTGAGTGACATTCTGACTTAACACATGTAGCACAGGCTGTTCCTCAATGCAGTGAAGCTGACCAGCCTCTTGCTTTCCGCAGTGAGCCATCTCTACGGATTTGGACTGATGGATGCTGAAGCCATGGTGATGGAAGCAGAGAAGTGGACCACTGTCCCCCAGCAGCACGTGTGTGTGGAGAGCACAGACCGACAAATCAAGTAATGTTTGCAGCAACCAGATAACATGATAAAGCCCCAAAAAGAGAGGGGCCAGCGCAAGTGCTTGCAACAGCCCCTGCTTAATACATGGAAGCTAGAAGCTTCTGTAATTCTTTCTGTTATAATTATTATTGTGCTAAAACGTCCACGATGCTCTGCTGCTAAATTCATAGTATAACCCAAGGGTCTTTCAAAGGAAGTTGGGAGCCCTTGCCAGTGGGCATTTCAAAGTAGTTTACTCTGTCCAGATCTCTGTTTAATGGTATAACTATTCTCCAGATGTGCTACAAAATCAGAACATGTGCTCTGCAAGCCTAACTGCAAACTATATTATCCTCCAAAGAGCAACATAAAATGTAAAAAGTTCATGAGCATTCAGTTTACTCTAAGATAGAAGGGTCTGCTCCCCAATGTTAGCTATGCAGGCACCCAGAGAGTATTCACCAAAGAATTCTGTAAAGTCACTCCTTGGTGTGAAATCCGGGGCACAGCATTCCTTCTTAGTGGCCTTCTTAGTATTTCTTTCTTGGCTTTCTTCTCAGACACCACTGTCTCAAAAACTTTGGTTTATGATGGTACTAGAGTCCTTATAATTTCTTTAAGAAATTTGTTATGAAGCAGAAAATAATGTTTTTCTGCCTGCATTCTACTCTTTTGAGGAAAAGAATGAGGACAGAAAAAAAGAGTGAAAGTCAGTATTTCTTGAGCACTTACTATGGGCCAAGTCAAATGGCTGAAACCTCATATACAGTTTTCTTCTTAAAACTTGCTCACAACTTGGGTATTAGTCCCATTTGATAAATGAGAAAGCGATATCAATGGGGTTATTTGTTTATTCATTTACAAACTCATTCATTAACTCAGCAACAGCTTCCTTGTACTCCAGATATGAAACACTAAGCTGTTCTTGGGGAGAAAGTGCAGAGGGATAAAAATTGCTTCCTGCCCTTGCGGAGTTCAGAGTTGAGAAGAAGTCACACAAGAAAAATGTAATAAGCAGAAAACCACAGATTCTAAAGGAATGCTGAGAATTTTTAAAAGTAGGGAATTAGTGATGGAGAGCAAGTTTTGCCTTTGGTTTAATGGGGTGAAATTTAAGCTTCGACCTTGAAGGAAGAGTGAAACACAAACAAAAAACAAAAAAGAGTACTTCGTGCAGAGTAGTGTGTTCAAGGTCTTCATGAGGTCTTCAAGGTGTGAAGTTTGGACTGTGGCAGAGGAGGAGACTAGAGCGGAAGACAGGAACCTGCAGAGGAGAGGAAAGTGTACCCCTGGGTTCTAGCGCCAATGGTTGACCAAGGATTTGAACCAAGGTTGTGCAAATTCCCAAGCCTCCGCTATTCTGCCACCATGCTGTAGTTCTCAAAGTGTATTCGGTAGATCAGCAACACCAGTGTCACCTAAGAAATTGTTACAAAGAAATGTGCACGGGAGCCACCCCAGACCTATGTGATCAGCCACTCTGACCAGGGGCTGTCCCTAACAAGATGATCCCAAGGCACAGTCAAGCTTGAGACCCACTACTTGCATGAAGATAAAAGGACTTTGATTCTCCTTTTACCTCACTTGCGTCTTTCCCGCTTTCTAACCACTGATACTTTAAGTGGCCCGATCATTTAGATGTTAGCACTATTGTCAGTTAATATCCAGAGTCCAGCTGCTTGCTTGTCTTGCGTACTCATCCCTAAGTCTCAGGGTAATTCATCTGAGCTGTTTTGCAAATTTTGCTCAAAGGTCTCTTTCTTTCTCTTTCTCTCTCAGGACTATTCGCCCCAACAGTGCAATACGCTCCATCTACAAAGCCTCGGGTTGCTCTGATAACTCCAACCACTACGTCAAGTACCTGGAGCACGTGGTTGTACGCATCACCATCACCCATCCCCGGAGAGGAGACCTGGCCATCTACCTGACCTCACCCTCAGGAACCAGATCGCAGCTTTTGGCCAACAGGTATGATGATGGCTTCTGCCCACCAGTGTGGGCAGCACGGCAGCACGCAGCTACCCTTACGGTGGAAAGGAACTACTGCTCCTTATTCCCAGTGTGGGAATCAGCTGAGGGGCAGTGGATGTCATGATCTCATTGCCCTTAAGTAAAGAATGGGAACTGCCTAGCATCTATAAGCATGGAAAAATAAGGAATTTGATAGTTTGGGTAATAAAAGGATGCTTCAGAAAAACTGACAGCCACTTGACATTGACTCTAAATAGCATTGCTTACTGTGAAGTGTCTGATGACATTTGTTACGGATTAACCGAATTTTTTGCCCAAACACTTAACTTTCCAAAGATAAAGGAAATTCTGGTGTTTTTTTTTTTTTTAACTAATGTTGGCAGCTTGTTTTGTCTGCAGAGAGCCAGATAATAAATATTTTGAGCTCTGTGGCCGCCTCTTTATCCCAGCCACTCAGCTCTACAGTCAGAATGTGGAAGCTGCCGTGGATAATAGAAATGAAGGCAGGAGAATTCTCATCATGCTTTTCCCTCATGGGCAGCAGGCCAGATTGGCTTATGTACTGACTGTCATTTGTGCAGCTTGGCTTTAATGTTGGACCTTTAGTAGTTTTTGTTCTAGAGGATACTGAATTTTTTTTTTTAGCCTCTTTTTGTTTTTCTTGTTCTTTTCCAAATATTAAACCCACAGGTAAGTGCATTGTACCCAGACTGAAATCCTGCTGTAAAAATAAGGCCAGAATGTTCTCTGGCTCCACTGACTTCTGTAGGGCTGAGAAGCTGACCTGGCTGTCAGTAGGTGGAGCTGGACCAGGAGATGTCAGTTTATCTTCCAGACTTCCCACCCAATTATGGTTCTAAAATAGGGGTCACAACCAAAAGCCTAAATGTTTCTTTAATTTGACTTTTTTTTCTCCCAGAGGAGCATTTAATGCGAACAAGAACCTCATCATCAGTGGCCTGTATAGTTGAAATGAAAGTGAACTTTTCATGTAGCCACAGCCACCTGTCCATGTGGCAGGTGATAAGGCAGTGGTGATCTTTATTGAGTGTGACCAGTAGGCTGGAGGATCTGAGAGCTCAGGGGCAACGCAAGCCTGCATAACCAAAAACAAGACTGAAATTTCCAGTACCCAGTTGCTTTGAAAAATTCCCACACTTCATCCACTGTAAGGTAGTAAGAAGAGAGAGCAATAGCATTTCACAGTGATAGGGACCAGGAGTATTGAATCCGAAATCTCCAGGTACTTATCTGTGTGGGCACAAGCCATGTTCTTCCTTTAAAACTAACATCTTCCAAAGTACATCGTATTGAATATGCTCATGCTTTCAGCGTGTTTTATGGAAGTGAAAATAATTCATGGTAGGTCATTTCTTTGGTTGGTGCAGCTCTAACTCTTGAATCGACCTTCAGAGCAGGAGGGCGTGGAGCAGAGCCACGTCCTGTTACTTTGCTCACCGTCCCTTCCGGCCAGCCTCCAGTCAGCCTCACTGGACAGTGCGTTTTCTTCCTGCCCAGAACAACAGGAAGCGTCTTGTTCTGTTGACCTCTGTTCTCATGTGTTTAATAATGACCAAAAGTGCATTCTGAGGTTTTTCAAGGAGCACATTACTAGAGCTTTAGTAACATACTGAGTTTCTCGTGTGAAAAATTTGGCTTTGTCTGATAGGGTTCTTCTTCCTCTCTTGCCTAACGTGGAGGTTGTTTTAGGAATTATACTTTATAAACTTTCTCAAAATAAGGTACATGCCTATACAGAACTTAACATTTTGCACAGAATATATCAAATATATTTTGAGAAACAAAAAGAATGGCATGTGCTCTGTTAGGAATAAAATAGGAAACTATTGTATGTTACAAAAACTTATTTCAGAAATATTTTTGAGAAAAGTAGCCATGTATGCTGATTTAGGAAAATGCTTGTTTAGGTTGGAGTTCAGTTTAACTTAGACTTGAGAATTGAAAGTTATTAATAATACGTTGAATTATGTCACTAATGTGAGCAGCAGAATACTAGAAGTTTTTACTTTAAGCAATTCCCGAACATCAACGGAGCTATCTCAAAGTAGGAAATTGACATTGCTGCCTTTAAGAGTCCCGTGAATGTAAGAAATTATAGCACGTCGCGTAATATAGAAAAGGGAGTTCAACTAGTGTGGCAGATGTTGTGTGTTAACTGTTGTTCTTTGCTACATGTGTTGTATTTGAAAGTTGGAATAGTAACTTTTAAATAAAACATTCTACGACTGACCAAAAACAAAACAGAACATCTTCCACTAGAGGATGGAAGGACCCAGACTTAATATTTTAAACACGAAGTACAGCTAAGCTCGAGTATTTGTGCAGGTGCAAAGGAGCATAAGGCTTTGGCGGCCTCAGGTCCCTGGGCACTTCCTCCATGCCCTCTTCCTGTTGGAGACAAAAGGGTCTCAGCTGCTGCTTGCCAGGTAATTGCCACAACCTGCCTCCTGCTTCTTTCCAGCACGCAATTACATGATTAATGGCGGTCTCACCAGATGTTTTCACGCAAGCCCAGGAAAGCCTTTGTATCTTTTTGTTTTCCTTTCTTTCTCAATATTCATCTGGATTTAAACTGAAAGAGTATCCCAGTAAAATAGAATGGAACACAAAGGTTTGCTTTGTATATGTGAGGTTCTTTGCCCCAAACCCTGCCACTCATAGGAAAGCAGTCCCTCTGCTATTGCCGTTTGCTTAGAAAACTCAGTCTCTTCTCTCTGGGCTCTTCCTTCATATTTTGCTGTTTGTTGTTGGCTTCCTTCAGAGTGACTTCAGTAGGGAAACTCGCAAGCAGAGGCACGATGGATTCCATCACAGCGTTTGGTGAGTTGCAAGGTCCCTGGCTACAGGCTCATGAGCAGTTCCTCCCCAGGTGACATCTGCTTCCGTCTTTGCAAACTGCTGAACTCAAGGGTGCTATGTGACTTGTATCAGAGATAAGAAAAAGGTATTTCGGGCCCTCAGTGACTAATGTTCCCTGGCTCTACCTCAGTCTCCCCCTTTCAGAACACCTTATTAAGAGTAAAGTTTTTGCCAGGTGCAATGGTACATGCCTGTAATCTTAGCATCTCAGGAGGCCGAGGCAAGAGCATCACAATTTCTAGGTCAGCCTGTGTAACCTAGTGAGCCCCATCTCAAAATAAACTAGAAAAGTCTTGGGGATGTGATTCAGTAGGAGAGTGCCCCTGGGTTTGATCACTGGTACTGCAAAAATAAAAATAATAACAATAATAATGAAAAAGACAGAGTTTGTGCTTAGAGGGTCCTAATCGGGAATGTCTTCTTAAAATGCTATTCTCTGTTGTTTTGGTTTTTTTGTTTTGTTTTGTTTTGTTTGGTACCAGGGATCAAACTCCGGACCTTGCGCTTGCAAGGCAGATGGCAGAACCACTGAGCTAAATCCCCGGCCCTTAAAGTGCTATTCTTTATGTATCCTCCTTCTCAGTCCTGAAAATATGTAGCCACCAAAAAGAGGTAGCAATTGGAGGTGGGAGGGCCTAGAAGCACTGAGAGATGTGAAGGAGATTATGAATTCATTTTTCCACATCTCCCTCAAAACCTTGCTCAGGGTAGCTGATGCTTGAAATGTGAAACAGCTGCACCTGGTCCCAAAACCACCCATGGCCACCTTCCAAGGCCAGGCCCTCTGTTCTTGTGCTTGACACGGGCAGTGTTCCTCCTACTGAGACAGCTAGAGAAAAACGGTTTCCTTTGGCATTCTTTCCTTCTGGCAGATTCTGAGGCTTTCATTTTATTAGAGGAAATCTCTACTCAAAGCCTCTCAGTCTCTGGCCTATTGGCAAGAAGTGCTCAGGTCCTCTCACCTTGGCTCTGATTCAAAACAGTCCCAGGATGGAGAGCTGGAAGCAAGGAGCACAGAAAGTGGTAGAGAAGAGAGCGGAAAGAGCTGCTTTGCTTTGATGTCCTCCATGCCCCTCTGCAAAGTAATACTTTTCCTCAAGAAGTCAGTAGTGGGTTTTAGAAGAAATTTGTGTGCCTGAGATTATTCATAAAGACAGTAAATAGTTTCCCTCCTGGAGACTTACTGTGATGGTTATGCGTGATTGGCTTGAGAAATTCCTAGGAGATTAGAAAAAGCACACTTCTGGCTGTGTCTGGGTGGGCCCTGGGTACCACATCCAGTCCCAGCCCCTTCTCTGGCTGCCATGAGGTGGGCAGCCCCCTGCTCCACACCCTCCTACCATGATGTTTCTGCCTGGGAGCCAGATGACCAGAACCAAGAGCCAGAATAAACCTTTTCTCCTTGAAGCTGTATATATCAGGTATTTTGTCCCACCAACAGGATGGTGATTAACACATTTCTTGTTTTGTTGCGAAGAAGTCAAGATTTCTAAGGAGGCCCATGAAAAGCAAAGAACAATTTTAAAATAGGAATTATGTAAAGGTTAAAACAAGGTCTCTCCAGCAGGGCTGGTTTGTGGGATGATGATGTGGCCTTCTTGAGGCTAAGCCGTCCTTGTCTTGTCTGTCTTACCCCACCAGCAGGTGCGTGCAGGTAATTTCTCTCAGACTTACAATTCCCCATCCTGCCTGCTCACTAGCCTGGCAGCCAGTGCAGAGAACTCCTCGCGGCTGTTGAAAGCATCCTCTGCCCGTGTTTAACTCACAGCCGACTGTCGGGTGCCAGCTCAGGCTCACTATGTGAAGCTCACTAAACATCATCTCCTCTTTGTGACATAAAAACTAGAGAAACACACCATGAGATTCAACATGAGAGGAGAGCCGAGATGGCAGGTCCTGCCCCGCCTGATCGTCTGAGATTATGCAGCTTTTAGTTATTGACAAAATACACACCCTAGTTTGGAGGCCTGAAACTCTGGTCACTGTTCATAGTTGACAGCCCATGGGTCCTTTTTTCCTAGACATTTCCGTGAGGAATTTCTTCAGAACTGTTTATCCCCTTCACCCCAGCAATTCCTTTGACAGTCTCTGCCCAGCAAAACGCTGAACATTTCAGT